ACTTGTAAAACTAAGTAAGGCCCTCCTGATAGAGAAAAGAAGCTCGACCGAATTAGAATGAATCCTGACGAGTCTGCTCAGTAGGGCTAGAATGCCGCAGATTCTATAAAGGCACCTTATGGCATGTTGCCGATGCCAAAGACACATGAGGCCACCTGTTAGAGAAAATACATCAGATTGCCTTTTTCTCAGTAGCAGCGGCATCCTGGACGTATGGACAGCAAATGCAAAGTCTTATTTGGACTGTGCACAAAACATTTAGATAGCATCCAAGAGGCGCATCAGAATCTCTTTTTGTCGTATTGACACGCCGTTTGGCTTAAGTTTCTACACTCTGTTTGCATCAGTTGTAAAATTTATCAATAACGAAAGCCTTATCTATATAGTTAGCCTAGTCTTCTATTCAGCGTATTCATTTTTGAAGGGTTTTGAATGTTTAGTTAGACCACGCATAAAATATATAATCATAAAATTTTTGTTTCCAGAATATGATAAAATTGCTTCAAACAATCAAAATCAGTTCACTGGTTACGAAGATATGTTATATAGCTATAACTGACTTGTAGGTCATTTCTAAATACGGCACCTTAACAATCAATTTGGATGACGGGGTTTCTTTTATATATAGTTCTATAGGTGCTTAGTCATACCACACATTCAAGCTGAGGTCACATAGAACGGCGCACGTGATCTTAGGGGAAGCTCCTAGCCTTTCCATGAAGCCACCAGAGTACGCACATACTCTGTTTCTCTATTCATCGTTGCCTGTCAGAACGGCCCGTAGGAACTCTGCTTTTGCACCTTGAAGTCTTCACCCCTGAGGAAAAATCACTAATGGCAAACATCGCTGCCACTGACGCCGTTGGCCCTAAAATATCTTCGTGTCGCCAAACTTACGATGTGCTGCTCCTCGTCAAGGGCATTACCAAGTTCATAAATGAGTCTTTCAATGACATAACGGAAACCTCGACCTAGTTCTCTGTACGAGTATGTCCCCAGGACCGTGGATGGGTGTGGGAGTTGTTCTCGCTTTCCCGCTTCTGAGGGGACATCTAGCTTTTCAGAGAGGAATACTTGAGCCACGAAAGTCGCTACATTGCTCATTGCAAAATTCACGGAGAAGATTTCTTAATTCATGAACAAGATCCGTCTCTTTTCGAATGTCATCAGGATCAGTGTATACTCAGTGTTTGTACGCTGTATGAGTATTTCCTTACTAATCGAAGGATACCAACTTGCTAAACACCATGTAACTTTTATGACATATATAAACAATGCTGATATTGCTCAACAACTAATTTCTCTCGACGATATCGTTGATATTACTGCAGAGATTTCTGTCTAACCAACGATAAAATTAGTGTGTAATCCTCTTAACGATGGTATCCGTACAGTAGCTGTAATGAAAATATAATTACTAGAGTAGCCACATGGCTGCTGCCAAAGGAAGCTGCAACGAGATGTTATTTCATGTTGAACAAGCGCACGCTGGAACAAAAAGGTTCTATCAAAATAAGTAACTTTACTTGCTCCATAAACCTGAAACTAAAATTTTATTTCTCTAGAAGTATGTAATTTTTTAAGCGTAAACAGAGGATTGTGTAAATTGCAGCTTTTATGACTCTCGCGTCCTGAACAAGATATTAAATGACGTCAAGTATTCATAAAGAATATATTCGACACAAGTCTTAGTGAAAGGAATTAAAAGGATCATTTCAGTGGAACAGGCTTATATAGTTAGTCCATAGTCCCCACAGGTTTGACAACAGTGCGATCTACCCAATCGCGCTACCGACAGTACCGATCACCCAGCAACGTGGTTAATTTTATACGAAAAAGACCAAGATTCTGAATTGTCAGCATGTAAGGGATAATCAGGTACTAAAATAAAAAAATGGAAACACTTTTGAATTTTTTTTTTATACTCCAACTACCACAAAGGCCTAAGGCCTAAGCACCCATTGGGTACCGTGGGGCTATAGGGGGATACATTGGAAAAGTGGGGACGCCACACGGACTCTGGCTAGGGAACACGTGTGCATGCAACATGCACACATTCTGGCTCCGCCTACGAGAACCGCCGGGTGGTACCCTCCGCGTTCTACAGTCAGAGACCATCTACCACCTACGGACAATCACAACATCCATAGCCAAGAGAAAAATTTCTCCTGGGACGGGACTCGAACCCGCACAGCGAACGGCGACTGATCAGGAGACCGAAGAGTCTACTACAGCGGCCACCGCTGCTGCCTAAAACAAACACACAACATCCATGGCGAAGGCGAGATTCGAACTCGCGGCCCGGCCGGCCGGCTGATCAGTAACACGACACTCTGACCCACGCGGCCAACCGAGGTGAAATTCATATGTTTTAAAGAATAGAGCCGGTTAAAAATCCTGGTCATTTGTTGTCAAAAAATGCAACAGTTCTGACTCAGAGTTTTGGCGCATATCACATATAGTTTTGGTGTGGACATTCTATTTCGAGCTGTAGTCTAAGATGGCTGTACATTTTACGCAATGCTAAAGTACATGAATGCAACATTTAAAGGCGAGGAGCAATTGTTCGAAATTAGTTTATACTTTACCAAAAATGTCTCATTTTCCACTTATTATTTATATAATAAGTATTTGAATTACAAGTCAATAAGTATAGAAGATCTTGGTATAACTGAAAAACTACCGGATTAGTCAGAAACGTGTAATTTTAAAATGTGCTAGTCCTAAAAAAAGTAGCAAGATGATCTGTAAAAATTAAATTTTGCTCACTAGTTGCAACGATGAGTTGAATAAAAAATTTTTTTTCATTGACAGCCTGAGTTTTATACTCTAATGCGTGATGATGCCCTGCGATGAAGCTGTGGGTACAGAATCTAACGGTATATACGTCACCTTAGTGGCTCCTAAACTACTACAAATGTGGACGTCGGTTATAAACTTGCATGATTTTTTAAATTCCTTTGAACTATACATTAGAACGTAAATCATAGATATGATACCTTTCGTCGATGTTTGTAACCCACTAATACATCAGAGATTGCATCTTTCACAAACAGCCACATACACTGTAAAGCCCCATTATACTCAGTATTATCATGAACCAACCTTAAGCATTATTTCCATAGTTACTGAAATAGGAAAAGCATTTTTCATAAGGTGCAGACCACGTACCACCATCATAGTGAAACCAATTGATTTTTGTTGCCGATGACCGCCATTTTTGAGACCCTGATCTTTGTGGTGGATTATGAGATCATATAACCTTGTGTAATGCTTTGCATCCCGGAGCACAGAAATATTTTCCGAAATTTTAACTTTTATTGAAGGCTGCATAGAAGATTGATGTATTTTTTTTGTTGTTCTCAGACTCTAGAAGCACTTCGAGAGGAGTTAGTGGTTGCCTGGAATGAGATACCACAGGAGGACATTGACCACCTGATCAGAAGCATGCCTAGGCGCGTTGGAGAATGCGTAGCACATCAGGGTGCATCCACACATTATTAAAGGTCAAAGGGATTTAAAGCAGTGCAATCATTTTGAAATTTTTATCATTTACTTTTTATGCTTCATTAAGTACTTAGAATAAAAAATAAAACCATTTAAACTGGATGTTCGGATTTATATGTCACTTAGTATATAATAAACGAGGAATCTCTGAGACATTGACACAGAACGTTCAAACAACAAACCCTAAGCACTGCAGTATGAGTGCCATAAACAGATACAATTGGCAGGACAGCCGAAACTGATTAAGACTTGTAAAACTAAGTAAGGCCCTCCTGATAGAGAAAAGAAGCTCGACCGAATTAGAATGAATCCTGACGAGTCTGCTCAGTAGGGCTAGAATGCCGCAGATTCTATAAAGGCACCTTATGGCATGTTGCCGATGCCAAAGACACATGAGGCCACCTGTTAGAGAAAATACATCAGATTGCCTTTTCTCAGTAGCAGCGGCATCCTGGACGTATGGACAGCAAATGCAAAGTCTTATTTGGACTGTGCACAAAACATTTAGATAGCATCCAAAGAGGCGCCATCAGAATCTCTTTTTGTCGTATTGACACGCCGTTTGGCTTAAGTTTCTACACTCTGTTTGCATCAGTTGTAAAATTTATCAATAACGAAAGCCTTATCTATATAGTTAGCCTAGTCTTCTATTCAGCGTATTCATTTTTGAAGGGTTTTGAATGTTTAGTTAGACCACGCATAAAATATATAATCATAAAATTTTTGTTTCCAGAATATGAATAAAATTGCTTCAAACAATCAAAATCAGTTCACTGGTTACGAAGATATGTTATATAGCTATAACTGACTTGTAGGTCATTTCTAAATACGGCACCTTAACAATCACAATTTGGATGACGGGGTTTCTTTTATATATAGTTCTATAGGTGCTTAGTCATACCACACATTCAAGCTGAGGTCACATAGAACGGCGCACGTGATCTTAGGGGAAGCTCCTAGCCTTTCCATGAAGCCACCAGAGTACGCACATACTCTGTTTCTCTATTCATCGTTGCCTGTCAGAACGGCCCGTAGGAACTCTGCTTTTGCACCTTGAAGTCTTCACCCCTGAGGAAAAATCACTAATGGAAACATCGCTGCCACTGACGCCGTTGGCCCTAAAATATCTCGTGTCGCAACTTACGATGTGCTGCTCCTCGTCAAGGGCATTACCAAGTTCATAAATGAGTCTTTCAATGACATAAACGGAAACCTCGACCTAGTTCTCTGTACGAGTATGTCCCCAGGACCGTGGATGTGTGGGAGTTGTTCTCGCTTTCCGCTTCTGAGGGACATCTAGCTTTTCAGAGAGGAATACTTGAGCCACGAAAGTCGCTACATTGCTCATTGCAAAATTCACGGAGAAGATTTCTTAATTCATGAACAAGATCCGTCTCTTTTCGAATGTCATCAGGATCAGTGTATACTCAGTGTTTGTACGCTGTATGAGTATTTCCTTACTAATCGAAGGATACCAACTTGCTACACCATGTAACTTTTATGACATATATAAACAATGCTGATATTGCTCAACAACTAATTTCTCTCGACGATATCGTTGATATTACTGCAGAGATTTCTGTCTAACCAACGATAAAATTAGTGTGTAATCCTCTTAACGATGGTATCCGTACAGTAGCTGTAATGAAAATATAATTACTAGAGTAGCCACATGGCTGCTGCCAAAGGAAGCAGCAACGAGATGTTAATTTCATGTTGAACAAGCGCACGCTGGAACAAAAAGGCTCAATCAAAATAAGTAACTTTACTTGCTCCATAAACCTGAAACTAAAATTTTATTTCTCTAGAAGTATGTAAGTTTTTAAAGCGTAAACAGAGGATTGTGTAAATTGCAGCTTTTATGACTCTCGCGTCCTGAACAAGATATTAAATGACGTCAAGTATTCATAAAGAATATATTCGGCACAAGTCTTAGTGAAAAGTTTTCTGCCACCAAGGAATTCAAAGGATCATTTCAGTGGAACAGGCTTATATAGTTAGTCCATAGTCCCCACAGGTTTGACAACAGTGCGATCTACCCAATCGCCCTACCGACAGTACCGATCACCCAGCAACGTGGTTAATTTTATACGAAAAAGACCAAGATTCTGAATTGTCAGCATGTAAGGGATAATCAGGTACTAAAATAAAAAAATGGAAAACACTTTGAAATTCATATGTTTTAAGGTATAGTAACCCTCATACGAGTAGATGCAATCAACTTGACATTTATATTGTTTTCAGAGCCGCTAAAAAATCCTGGTCATTTGTTGTCAAAAAATGCAGTTCTGACTCAGAGTTTTGGCGCATATTACATATAGCTTTGGTGTGGACATTCATATTTCGAGCTGTAGTCTAAGATGGCTGTACATTTTACGCAATGCTAAAGTACATGAATGCAACATTTAAAGGCGAGGAGCAATTGTTCGAAATTAGTTTATACTTTACCAAGAATGTATCATTTTTCCACTTATTATTTATATACTAAGTATTTGAATTACAAGTCAATAAGTACAGAAGACCTTGGTATAACTTAACTGAAAAACTACCGGATTATTAAGAAACGTGTAATTTTAAAATGTGCTAGTCCTAAAAAAAGTAGCAAGATGAGCTGTAAAAAGTTAAATTTTGCTCACTAGTTGCAACGATGAGTTGAATAAACATTTTTTTCATTGACAGCCTAAGTTTTTATATTCTAATGCGTGATGATGCCCTGCAATGAAGCTGTGGGTACAGAATCTAACGGTATACGTCACCTTAGTGGCTGGTCCTAAACTACTACAAATGTGGACGTCGGTTATAAACTTGCATGATTTTTTTAAATTCCTTTTAACTATACATTTGGAACGTAAATCATAGATATGATACCTGAAGTAGCGAGGAATTACACGATATATGGAATTCACGTAATTTTTCATCACCTTTCGTCGATGTTTGTAACCCACTCATACAACAGAGATTGCATCTTTCACAAACAGCCACATACACTGTACAGCCCCATTATACTCAATATTATCATGAACCAACCTTAA